TTCCCTTCCCTTCCCTTCCCTTCCCTTCCCTTCCCTTCCCTTCCCTTGGAGGTCTAGTGACTTGGCTGAAAGATCCAACCCGCTCCCGACTCCATCCAACACCATCCAATTCCCCCCGGGCCTTTCGCTTCCCTTGCACCACACAAGTCTTGCACTTGTCCCCAGTGCCCTTGATGCAGCCATATGCCTGGAACGAGAAGGACGACCACCCCAGTGATTGGGTGCGTGGAATACGACTTACAAACAGGCCCACGATATGATCTGGCTTTATCTGGCCAAACCATGCCAAACCTCTCCTGGTTGAGCTTGCCACACGTTCTACGCGAATCACACATGAAACCAGAGTGTTTCAGGAATCTCCGTTGATCTGCAGGGTGGCTGCGGCGCGCTTGACGTCCCCGGTGATTTCCCTTCTCACGCCTTGCACTTCTTGCCCGAAAGGAAGTAGCCGCCGTTGCACGTCTTGCAGTGGTTGTGTTGCTGAGCAGCGGGCCAAGCGTCAAAAGCATGGTTGCGGTACTTGCTTGCTCCACCAACCGGATGTTCTGCTTGACATATGTTGCATATGCCAAAGTACAGTGGTCTCATGCAAAGTCAGCTCCGAGGTCGAAACAGAAACAACGAAACTCTTCCATGGCCCATCCAGCACAGAGAGAATCGCTTCGTTCGGGGCTCAAAAAGGAACAACTGGACGACCCATAAAGCACGGATTCAACTTACGCCAAGTGAAGCATAACCAGTGGTATCTCTCACTGTTTATTGTTTTCTTCAGCAGCAAAGATCACCCGTCTGCGAGCCCGAGCCGGAAACGTCTGGGCATCCCGGCTGTGCGATCTTTCTGGTCTACGCAGCTGCCACATTTGTCGGTGTCGCAGGTGTAGGGCTGGCAGAGGCGACGCCCGGACGGCGAGGGGGCGGTACCGCGGTGGCAAACCCATTCCGCAAACCCATCTACCGCGATTCCGCGCCTTGCAAATTCCATCTTCCAAAAAGAAACCACCATTGCAGGTGGCACAGAAGTCCGTCTCCTGGTTCCGGGGACGTGTGATCTCTTGTGACTGGCATAGCCGTGGATGTGTAGACTCAATCGCCCCGACGAATAAAGTCGCAAAGATTCTTGGAAGTCTGGCTCCACCTGTACGGTGGATGCCTGCTGCAAAAAAGACATGCTAAAACCGCTGCTTGCCGTCCTCCCGCCCACAATCCACATGGGTGAGATCCCACCTGTGGCAACAGGGCTGTCGCATGCTTGTCGGACTCGAAACCATCGCCTCGCTGGTCATGGCGACACATTGCAGTAATCACTCCTTTTTGGTCGAAAATAGAAGGCCGGTGGCTTTCTAACAACCTTCCCCAAGTGCAAATTAGATCAAATTAGTGGTGGTTTTCCAAAAGACCTCTTCACGCAAACGGCCTTTACGCCGGCCTTTGGCGAACCTTGCACACACTCTGTGTGTGTGTGCGCGAACACAGTAAAACAAAATGTTCTGTTGGAATATGTGTGTGTGTGTTTTCAAACAATTATATTATATATATAATCATATATACCACTCGGTGCACAGAAGCGCGCAATAGCTGGCCGTGCATGGGAACCAACATTCTCTCAAAGGAGTGGCTTGCCAAGTACACTGGAATGACTCGGCACGATCGGATCCCTCTCGCCCCTCCAAGAGCCATTGCAGAAACAGCTGGCTCAAAGAAGTTGACATGGCCCGTCACGTTCTATGCACATTCGCACATTGCGCGGACCTGGCACGAGCCTTGCGCGGAAACTCGATCTAGTTGTGGTTCCAAATGTCTGACTATTTGTGCTGCGGCCTATCACACTGCGCGCGCACGCTTGCACAACGAGTGGAGACAAGGAAACATGCTTGCACTATCCCTAGTTTCATCTGGTTTCAGTTCCACTCCAAAAAACACAAGCTAGTAACAACACAGTCTTCGATCTCTTTTAAAGTGTAAATAACCCTTGCGCAAACCTTGCGCCGGTCTTGCGCGAACCTTGCGCAATGCAGGTTCTAGCCCACCTAGATACTACATCAATTACAAAACATCGTGCTACTAAATCCTGTCCTTTGGGTTTTGGGACGGCTCCCAAGTATTCTTCAACATCATTTCTACATGTATTAGCTAAATATGTATTATAGCTAAATTAATGATCGACTCATCACTTAGAGTGCTGCGGCAGAACATGCAACATGATCGTTCGTCCTTGACGCACAAATCCTGCGCCACTCGAGTCAACAAAAAGAGATACCCATAGTCGGAAGGCCAGGTGAAGCCATGTATCTACAGTCTACAGTAGGTCTTCTGCACATTTGCCTCATCCAGGTAGCCTTGGGGCGATCGGGGCTAGGGTCCCAGGGTCCCGCTTAATTTGGGTTTGGGTCGTAGGGTCACACCTGTCAGACAGATATATAGGTGGGGGCCCGGGCGCCTGCATGGATGGCTGGACGGATGGGAAGAGGTGAGAAACAAAAAAGAGGTCAACTAGTCCTGGGTGACACCAATTGCTTCCAAGGTGCACTTCTCGTACAAGTGGCACCAACCACTGCTCTTGTAGAACGCAAGGGCTGCACCTTAGGAGTGACGATGGGAAGGCCGATGGCGAGCATCTCAACCATGTGACAACGGAAAAACATATGACTTTATGACTTCCAATTTGGCTGAAATCTCTTGTTGCACCAAACAAATATCTCTCCCAAAGCCCAAAGTGACCGCACTTTTGACTGGCAAGGAGAAGTGGCAAGGCTTTTGTGGGCAGTTCTTCGCTTGCTCGCTGTCCAGGCATTTCTGCGTGCACCTTGGACGGCACCCAGAGGAAGTCATTCCTGGGACCTCGCCTCGCCTGTGACCTGCTTGCCTCAACCCAGTCCAAACTGGCAGTCCAAACTGGCAGTCCCATGTTGTTGCCGTGGAGTCTATCAGGGTCATTCCAGACTACCTGAGAGTCTTGCCTGAGGAAAAGAAAATATCATCAGACTAGTCAGAGAGTCTTTCTGCGGACAAAGAACGGTAATACATAATTAATATAATAGATCATATAGTATATTTAATATGTATATGCGTTTTTTACAGAACTCCTAGTAACAAGGGTGCCTTACTAGTAGTAACAAGAAGCTACTAGTAGCTCCTTGCATTACTACTAGTAGCAAGGAGCCTACGTCCAGTAGCGGCACCTGCGTCCCTTCGTCCATACTCCGCTCTCAGGCTCCGCACTCCGCCTCCGTCAGGCGGCTCCAGCCATCGCAGCCGACGCCGCTGTTGAACCTCGCAGGGCTCCGACGTGACGTGGCGCGGTCGGTTGCAGATTGTAGAAAGGGAAAGGCCGTGGGGCCATGGGGTTCTGTTGGCCAGGTGAGGATTGGTTGTTCAGCAGAGGTGTTCTCAATGGGCTTTGAGAGTACCGAAAGGCCGAAAGCCCTCAAGCATCTTCAGAAAGCCCAACCCGTCTGACCATTGGCTACGATTGCAACACCGTACAGTAGCATTATGAGTGTATTGACACCGCAGAATGCTAGCAGAGCTTAAACTTGCACTCAAACCGCTTAAAGCAATTGCGTTGTGCTGATCGAAACCTTCTATATAAAACCAGTCAGGTCCGGTTCCCCTCAACGTTGTAGGTCCGCACGTTCCTCCTGTGTCCTTTCAAAGTCCCAGGAATCCATTGAGGCCGCTTGAGGCCCATTTAAGGCTGATTTTGAAGGTGTCTCACCATGCTCAAAAGACCCAACAAAGGGAGGGCCATGTCTGAAAGGACATGATGGACCAGGTCAAAAGTTGAGCCAGACTGTTCCAAGTTGAGCCAAGCTGCGTGAAAGGAGTATTCTTGCACTTCTTTCCTTTCGTGGACTCAAACTGGACCTGACGGCATTGCACCAGGAAGCTTGCCACGGGGACTCGCAATGGTAAGAGGCCATTATTCGAAGGCCAAGTCTTTCAAAAATCCGCTCTGAAGTTCGTGCCCGAAGCAGGAGGTTCATTGAAGCTCATGACTCATGTTGTGAAACACTCTCCATCCTAACACCGCAACTGGAAAAAGGGCCATGTTATGTGGTGTGTGTGTGTGCGTGTCTCCTGAGGTGATGTTTTCCGGGAACTCGCCAAGTAATTAGAAAGGCCGTGCATTCGTGCGTCAAGTCCACTTCTCAACAAATCTGATGCGTCTCTTTTCCTTTCCAATAGAAACAGAGCGGCCATCTCCACTTGCGCAAGTCCAAATGTCGAGTTCCGAATGTCCGAGCACCCACTTTGCGGTTCAAAAGGTATGAAATCACGGCTGGGAACCTCAATGTCATCAGAGAACCTGCCGCTAAAAAATCAAAAATTGTTGATCTTGGGGTCGGTTCCTCACTTGAAATGGAAAGAAAACGTTGCATCTGCTCTAAAAAGATCTGGCATGTTGATGCATCCCCAGTCCCGTTGTGCATGGTCTTTGCTTGACCCATCCTCGTCAACGACCCCACCGCTGGGTCCTCGGGCCACGCGCTGCTCCTGAGCCACACACGTCTTGCAGGAGGATCCACACTTGTAGGCCTGCCAAACGAAATGGAATATGGGTCGGTCAAACCCGGGTGCCTCTGAACAGAAGGCTCTGTGGACAAAGCAAAGAAGAAGAAGAAGAAG